CTACTACTACTACTGCTGGTACTACTACTACTACTACGACGACTACTACTACTACTGCTACTACTGCTGCTGCTACAACTACTAACAGCAATGGTACTAGTAATAGTGTTAATAACAATGGAATAGTAATGCTGATAGTAGTAAACGAACATAATATTGATGATTGTGGTGGTGGTAGTAGTAGTAGTAGCAGCAGAAGTAGTAGAAGTCGTCGTCGTCATAATCATAGAAATAGTATTAAAAGAGAAACGTATAGTTATACTCATAAGAATGGTAATCGTATGAGCCATATACTTTTTTGGCTACGCCATACACGTGCATGGACCCAGAGGGGTAGTTTATGTCAGGCGCTGTCTCAGCATGTCCTGCACAGAGCTGCAGTCCCCGCCGTAGTCTGGATGGCCCCAGGCCACCACCTCACCTTACTACGCCCAAGCCAGGGATATAAAAGGTTAGGGTTTAGGGTTTAGGGTTTAGGGTTAAACTTTCAGATTGCTACTAAATAATAAGAACCCAAAAAGTTTAAAGGCTGGGTATTGGGGAACTAAGTCACCGTTGCCAACGATAGCCGCGAAAGCCTTGTCGGTCGCTTGGATCCTGAGCTCAGTTCTACAGGGTTCAGGGTTTAGGGTTTAGGGTTTTGGGCTTAGGGTTTAGGTTTTAGGGTTTTGGGTTTAGGGTTTTGGGTTTAGGGTTCAGGGTTCAGGGTTTATGGGTTGAAGGTACAGGGCCTTAGCCTTAAGAGAGACCCCAAGATGCACAGTTTCTGATGAACCCATCCAGCCTTAAACCCTAAACCCTAAACCCTAAACCCCTAAACCCTAAACCCTATTACCTTGCCCAGTGGTTCAGCTCGAACTCTGAGATTCACGTGCCCTGAGCCCGGAACCCTAGAATTCAAGATCCTGAGCTTTCTTAACCCCTTGAAGCTTACACGCCTCAAGGAGCGAGCTCCCTGAAGCCACAACTTGGCTTCGTGGTTTGGGGTTTCCATGCTTATAAGATAGGGTTTTAGGGTGTAGAGTTGAGGGATGTTGCTACGAAGGACCTTTCAGGGTCAGGTCCTTGTAATGTAGGGGCCAAACTACATAGAATAGGGTTTTGGGCTCCTTTGTAGTACAAGTATAGTAAGGAACCTTAACAGGGCTCCTTTATAGTACAAGTATAGTAAGGAACCTTAACAACAATATTGGTAATTATTTAGGCTTCTATATACTATTAGATTGGCCCAGGAGCTGCCGCACGTTCTGGAGCTTCGACTGAACTCGGCTGCTGTTGCCACCCGCGTAGCAGTCACCCCAGGTCACCTTGGACAGGCTTTTTGTCCTAAACCCTCAAATCCTAAATCCCTAAACCCTAAAGCCCCAAACCGTAATGCAAGGCTTTGGGGGCTACAGCAACTCATGTCTTGCTTATGATTTTTGGGCATCATGACTCGCTGGTGCTTTTCATGCTTCTGTCGTGGATGCAATTGGGGTAACTCTTCTGGTTGAGGTCTCTAGAATTCATCGTGGGGTTTGGTTACCCTCACAACAGACGATACAGTTACCATTAGAGTTAGAATGAACTGAATATTCTTCACGATGCTGTCTGTTAGAAAGAGGGGGAATGAAGGACTAGTAAGCAGGATCGCTTTTTACGACGGATCTCTACACCTCGAAGTGAAGCCCGTCGTTTGTTACCGTACTGCCACTATGCCAGCAATGCCCAACTTTCTCCCCATTATCTTTCCCGCGAGTGTTGCAACTGCTGCTGCTTGTTGCTGTGATAGAACTGGGCACGCCAGTCAGCCAAATCCACAAGCACACAAGCACAAAAAACAAGCACACAAACAAACAAACAAACAAACAAACAAACAAACAGACAGGCACAAACGAAAAGAAGCAACAGCATAGGACTGTGCAATGCATATATATGCATTCACTTGTGCTCCCAGGCATGCATGTATGTATGGATGTATGTCTGTGTATACGAGTGTAGGTACGTATACATACATACATACATACATACATACATACATACATACATACATACATACACGTATACATGTATACTGTACACACGTATACATGTATACTGTATACATGTATACATGTATACATGTATGCATGTATGCATGTATGCATGTATGCATGTATGCATGCATGCATGCATGCATGCATGCATGCATGCATGCATGTATGTATGTTTGTATGTATGTATGCATCTATGTATGTATGT